ACCTATGAAGGGTTAAATTCTGCAGCCCAATGTCCCCCTCCCTCCGTGGGGCAGATTGGGGGTGGGGTGGGGCGGGTGTGATCCCGGGCAAGCGCTGCAAGCTGCTGGGAGAGCGATGGCGTAGGAGCCAGGCAGAGAGGGGGAGGGGTGGCCCTCTGGGCGCCCCAGAGTTGGGGTGTGCAGGGTGCGCAGTACGAGCAGGGGGCCCGGAACCGCCGCGCCGTCGGGGCAGGGTTGTTGCTGTGAGTCTTGGAGATTGTGCCTCCTGCGGTGCTGTTGGGGCAAGGTAAACTGCTCCTGGCCCCACTGTTTGCTAGTCTGACACCGAGGGGTCTGCTAGAGCCCTTCCTGATACATAGAGGGGTACTCTTTGGTACAGAATTACAAGATATGGCCCTGTCGCTTTAAGTGACAGATACCTTGAGTGTGGTGTCTGGGGTTGTGTGTGTAGTTTTGCCAGCATGTGTTTTCTTGTAGGTATGTCTTGTGTTGCACACATGAATGTTTATGTTTGTTTTCTGTATAGTTGGCATGGTGTGTGTGTGTGTGTTATGGCGGGCACCAGAATGCAGGGTGTATGTACCCATTTGAAGAGTGCAGTTGTGGTGGACCTTTGAATCAGAAGGTATCACGCCTCAGTTCCATTTCTGTAGTCCTAATGAGGTGTGGTCCAGTTGTGTAGAGAACAGAGGGTAGCTGGATTTGTGTGTTTGTGACGGGCAAGTTTCATGGGGGCTGCGTGTCTGGAACTCGGATCTACTGATCAGCAGGAGCAAGAGAAACTGAAGCCTGTGGGTCAGCTGGCACCGGTGTGAGGGGCTCTGGGTGGGACATGCAAGATGTGTTTATGGGATCATGGGCGGCCAAGCAAAGGAAGGTTGCGTGTTTGCAACATTCTCCACGGGATTCTTTTGTGACGTTGTTTGTGGGAGCCTGTCTGGGCTGTTGGGCTGGGAGTCAGGCTGGTCAGAAAACACTTGGGAGGAGGTGGTGTGACAAGGGCACCGTGGGCCTCAGACTCAGGAGACCAGTGGAAGCTCTGTGTGCATGCTTACCTTTCTGCCCGGGAGATGTTATGGGAAGGTTGGGAGATAAATATTAGCCAGAGCAAGAGCAGCAGGCATGGGTGTTGTTGGGTGGCACTCTTCTTCTTTTGCAGGGTCTGTGTGTTTGCCCCTCATCCAGAATGTCAAGGCCACAGAGAGGAAAGTCCTGGCGCCTACAGGGGAAGTGA